GTGTGTGTGTGTGTGTGTGTGTGTGTGTGTGTGTGTGTGTGTGTGTGTGTGTGTGTGTGTGTGTGTGTGTGTGTGTGTGTGTGTGTGTTTGCACAAGGGGAAGAGAGGTGCGAGTGAGAAGACGGAAACAAGTGCAAGTGAGAAGGGGGAACACATGTACCTCTCACGTCCACATGTGGCAGACACATGGAAGCGGGAAGTGGTGGCATCACGCAGGCGCATGGAGATGTGCGTGCGTGTGTGCGTGTGTGCGCGTGTGCGTGTGTGTGTGTGTGTGTGTGTGCGTACGTTGGGGACGGCGGCGAGCGTCTCCTTGAGGTATTGGCCTATCCGCGCATCGCCCTGCTTCGTGCCGTCGTTCACCTGAACCCGCAAACCCGGCGCAGTCGCACGCGTCAGACCAGTTCTCACACAGCACGCCTAGCTCGCACTTGCATACATGCAGCACAACCCCGTTCACTCCACTCGAAGGTCCTGCTTGGACACACACACGCACGCACACACACGCACGCACGCACGCACACACATACACACAAACACCGTCGTGTGCACCTGTGTGACGTAGTTGAGGGCCTTGTCGACCATAGCAAGGAGCTTGTCTGTCGACTGCATAACGCCCTCGAGCTTCGACTTGAGCGGCGTCACAGCAGAGGTCGCAGACAGGCTGCGGTTCAGCGCATTGACTGACGTTGGGGAACATGGTGCATGGAGATGATGATGGGTGGGGGGGCGTGTGAAGAAGGGTGGTGGTGGAAAGCGATCGAGCACGTGCACCGACAAGCACACAGACCACAGGCAAACATAGATGAACGCAGATACATGGACCCACGGACAAAGACCACAGGCAAACATAGATAAACACAGATACACAGACAGACACAGACACACAGACACAGACACAGACACACACACACACACACACACACACACACACACACACACAAACACACACACAAACACAAACACAAGCACAAATAGATATGAGTGCCCTACGTGCAACGCGGTCCGAGTCGTAGGCGAGCACCTCGCAGGGAACGGGAGTGAAGAGGAATGAGCGGGACGTGGGCTCAACCTCGGCCGCCGCTTCCTCCTCATCGCCTTCCTCGTCCATCTTCAGCGTGCACTCGATCCTGATCCATAGCACACCAGAAACCAAGTTGGAAGAAAGAAATGAGATGTTAGCACCAACAGGTGGAGGAGCGTACATGCACACACAGACACACGCACGCACACTCACACGCACACACACACAGACAGCGTGGCGAACGTACGGCTGGAATGCTTTGACGCTGAGCTTGTCGCCAGGGAAGGATGTGTCAAGGAACATGTACATGAGGTTTTCCATCTCGGTGGCAGACTCGAAGCTGGCGTGCAGCAGGCTCGTATCCGCACCAAGGTCCTCGGTGCCAGACGCATACCTGAAAGGTAACATGCACACACCAACCAAAATAGTGGGACATGGTGGCGGTTACAGACAAGTTGTATTGTGAATGTATATGTGTGTGTGTGCATGTGTGTGACGGGTGTATGACATACACATACATACACATACATACATGCATTCACACATACACGCACACGAAGAGACGACAGAAACCGCTTGAACGAGGTCATGTCATGGCGATAAGCAAACCACACAGCAAAAAGAGTGCGTTATTCCAACGCACCAGCCCACAATCATCTCCGATGGGTTGGCCTGCTCGTGGAGGGTCTTCATGACCTCAAGGTGGTGTGGGTCAATGGACAGCTATGGGTGTGTATTTGTGTGTGGAAAAAGAAGATTGTGAGTTTGGTTGAGTGAGTTCACAGGAGAACAAGAAGTGCGGTGCGTGCGTGTGTGTGTGTGTGTGTGCGTGTGTGTGTGTGTGTGTGTGTGTGTGTGTGTGTGTGTGTGTGTGTGTG